GGGTGTTGTTAAATGCTGTGGAAACGAGCTTCTTGGGGGGATTAAAAAAAACAAGTGGTACCCCCCCCCCCCCCCCCCAACCCCCCATGGCTCAGTTATTATTGCACACAAAAAAGAGCTGCTTTTTGTGTCTTTAATCTGAACCTTTTGGGGATTTAAAGAGAATGAAGTTCTAACAATTGTAATTAAAAATGCTGACCAGCAGTTTGTTTCCAAAGCATTTACCCCACAGATTTGTTGGCTTCTGAAAAACAATCCATAAATAGATTTTTGGGAAGAATCCCCTTTCTGTTACTAGATAGATCCATGTTGCTTCTACTGCCTGGAAACAGTGACACTGAGACTATTCATGAGGAGTTAAATGTTCTCTACTTAGATGAAAGTCGATAAAATAAGCAAAGGAAGCCAAAATGTTATGAATCATCTTTGATCCGATTTCATGACATGAAAAATAGTGCATTTATTTTGTTAAAATAGGATAAACATATCCAAAAGCAAACACTTTACATTTTCAGGTGTATAGCCATAAGTGTGTGTTGCGATATGACGATAACAGTGATGTTTAAACATGAAATGGTGATATCATGTTAATAAGACACATATGATATTGTGTAAATAATCCTGCACCTCTTATATAATTTAAATAATATATATATAATGGTTGCAGACTCTCTTCGCCTCCCTACATTTGTGTTTTGTGTGCAATTTACTGTAAAAAAGAGGGAAAATGCACAATAAACAAAATCACAGACAAATTTAAATGATACCATCATCATTTTATTTTTATTTTCTACAGATATTACGATAATATCGTGATCATGAATTCTTTTTTTCTCCCACAATAATCATGCAGTGAAAATTTGATATTGTGACAGCCTTTGTGTGTGTGTGTGTGTGTGTGTGTGTGTGCGCGCGTTATCATATGCATACCAAGGTCGCACATCTGGACGACTCACAGGAGAAAAAGGTCACGCACTGGAGGGAAGTGAAGGTATCCTGGTCAACTGGAAGCTGCACACGAAAATAAATGGAACGTCAGTGCGGACTGAAATATTGAGATAGCAATAAATCTATATTGACAATAATATTAACTGCATTGCTGCAGAGGAAGTCGTTCTAAAAGCAAAGTCTAACATAAAAAATGCTGTTGCGTCAGTTACTGTACACTAACGCACATTTGTAATCAAGTTGTATTTAATACTACATATAATTATACAAGTTGAAAGTGTTAGAGAAGTAAAAAAAAAAAAAAAAAGCTGTCCACAAAACCAAAGAAAACCCTTAAAATGGTGTTTTGTATTTTCACCTTTTGTTCAGTGGGGTGGAAGTCTGGTGACTGTGGAGGCAAAGCAGTGCACGTCAGCACTACCTGCTGCTCCTCCCCGGTCTTCAAAAAGACTTCACTGCATGTTTGGGCTCATTGTCCTGCTGGGAAACGAATCCTCTTCCACACAAGTCAAAGCCAGAGGGGATGGCAGGTCTTTGCCGAGCAGAAGCAGTAGCTACTCCTCGGTCACTGGGGAGCTTACGCAGTACAAGTCCCTACATGTGTGGAAGAAGCAGAGCATCCTCATGTGTGGGCATTTGTAGTTGAAGAAAAATGGTTTGAAAGCTGAAATTCTCTCCATCAAGCCCTCACATTCACAACCACCGTGTGACTAGTTTCACTAACTAAAGCATGTGTTTGCTGCTCAGCTGTTTTTTTGTTTCTTGGATGTAGATATTCTGTTTTTGTAAAGACATCAGCTTAATATATTAGTCCCCAGTTCCAGCTGGAGTGCGTATTCGTTGTTGCGTTGGAATTCATCATAAATGTTCAGCGTCACTGCAGGTTGGTGCTGGGATGGATTTTCCTCCCTGTGGAAAATCATTTGGTGACACTTTTTTATGACTCCCATGTCTATAATGCATTCTACACATAAATAATTAACTGCTTGCAGCACTGTATAATTATGGGGACAAGCACTCATAAATGTCCATCTTGCTTTATAACAATAACAGTAACATATAAAGCATTTCATTAAAGATTTATAATCTCAAGTGTCACAATACTTCATAATTGCAGGTCTGTCAGGCAATGCTCATAGTGTATTATAATTCCCATAGTTGTAATACATAATTTTCTTAAATAATGCATCGTAATCCCTGTTATAATGTGATTATAACTTGTTCACTTCAAGAAAGGTAAAATATCATTACATCTATTTAATAAGAACACACAAAACATAAATTATATTTTAATTCACTTCGAGCAAATAAGGACCACTTAGTGTGAGCTATGATCACATTATAATGAATTATAAACTTGATTATGATGCTTTATAAAAAGACGATAATGTATTATAAGACGTACAATATACTATTATAATTATGACGTATTATGACATTACAAGTGATGATTATCGTTATAAAGTATTATAGATATTCATGACGCTTATAACTACAATTATACAGTGCTATGAGCAGATTACAACACATGTTTATTATGCATTATTTATTATGGTTTATAAGTAGTTAGACAATCAAAACAATTCACAATAATTATTCGAGGACCATACATGCAAGAAGACTTGCATGTAGAAGTGATCTATGGGGAAAAAAAGTAAAATTGTTTTACAAGCTTTTCTCAAAAGTTGGATGTCTATCAGCGACAACTGATGTATGCTTGAATAATATGACCGGAGTGAACTGATGAATCTATTTTCTAATAAATCCATCACATCGGTCGGCTTGCCAAAGTTTCCCCCTGGAAATGGATAATATTTTGCTTGGCATGTGGCTGTGGGTTCGTGTCACTTTGAAGACATCACGCATGTTCATGTTATAAGTGCTTGTCATTGCATTTAGAGCATCTTTGTAAGATAAAAAGATAGATGCAAAGATATACAACTAAAAATTGAAATTAATGATCTGTCCTGTTCGTCTTTTATCATCTGACATACTGAGACTGAACTCACTGAGACAATGTGAATAATTTCAGCACCAAATCCAAATGATTAAACTACATCATCCTCCTCCTCCTCCTCCTGACCATCATCATGACTACAATAAATCAACGATGTATGATGATATACATACTTTACAGCATGGATTTAAATTTTGATGTGGCATACTAGCATGTGTGTGATAAAAATAGCTGCGGCGTTGATGTGAAATATGAATATGATGGATGGGCTTGTGTGCAGGTTAGACATCTGTAGTAAACAGATTGGACTGCAATGGCTGATCAATGGGCTCTGTTCCACTGTAATTAGACACACAGCGCCACTGCTTGGCTCCAGCCACTTCAGCATAATCACAACCTCCACACACTCACGCTCCACACACACTGTGTGTGTGTGTGTGTGCAAAAGAGAGAGGGCACAGAAAAATTCTGTCTTTAAATGCATCACGGCACATACACACACACACACACACACACACACACACACACACACACACACACA